GCGTCCATCCCGACGGCCCGGCGCGCATGTCCGGCGGCGCCGGGATGTTCACCTGGAACAGAAGCCAGGACTCCTAGAGGCGAAGGCTGGACGGCGGCGAGGGGGCGGGGGGCGGGGCTGGTGTGCACAGGAAGCGGAGTGGAGGCCATCGGCTTTTATAGCCGGGGCCGCGCCGTGTGTACGCGTGTGAGGGAGGGGAGGCGTCGGCACCGTCCCGTGACGCGCCGCCCGTGAAGGAATCAATGGCAAGGCTGACCGGCGGCAACCTTGCCATTGATTCCCGCGGAACCCGAGGTCGTTGGGGGAAGACGAGGCGCCGGGGTCGCTGACGCGGCTGGCCCGTGACTTCTTCGCGCCAAAACAATTCGCCCCGGCGCCCCCGGGCGCCCCCCAGCGCGCCGGGTTCGGGCTGGGTCCGCCGGCGCTGTTTTCGGCCCAAGCTGGCGATTTTCGGCGTCCTGGGGGCGCGACTGGGCCGTTTTTTCGGCGCCGGCGCGAGAAAATCGCCTGTGGAGGCCTTCTTGGGGGCGCGGCTGGAGATGCCCTTAGTACTAGGGAGGATTTGCTAACACGGAACCAAATAGGATGTTGTCAGATTTCCCATATTTTAGTGCTCTACTGCTGCACCAGTGAGCCATCACATGCATTGTCCTCGAATGAAGTTGTTAACTGTAGCTATTCTGTTCATGTCGTCCTTTTCCCTTTTTCTTCTCGAGGTGCGCTTTAAACTTTCAGCTACACCGAGACAACCGTGGTTACCTAGGCTGGATCTGTCAGCCATCACGTGCATCACCCTAATCTGATGATGTTATTTAATAAATGTCTATAGATCTTACCCTTACTTAAGGTCTCGTCTTGCAGCTCTCTTCATTTCTATGTATGCAACCCCAAGATCTCTCCTCCTTTCGACGTATGCAACCCCAGCCTGATCCAGCCTTATCTTCCTGCGCCTCTCGTCGTTGTTCCTCAAGAGCTAGTCGGATCCCCAAGCAGATCTTCCAGGTCAGTGATCCAGGCTTGTATTCAAATAGTCTTCAAATTTACAGTTTGTATATTTCCTTTTTGGTTATATCATGAAATTTTATGGCTGTGTGCATACTTGTGATGTGGAGGCTAGGGTAATCCTCTTTTTGAAAAAAAAAGTAATGACATTTTTCAGATCTGAAGAACAGATGAAACTCGAGTTATTAAGTAGCTTGTTAATTAATAGCAGGATATGCAATTGTTATGCAGGACATGCGCATGAATTTCTGCTACACCAAGGCTGTTTAGGAAGTACTCCCTCTATACCGAAATACTTGTCAAACAAGTATTTAGGTACAGAGGGAGTATGATATTCTTAGAATAAATGGAAGAGAGGGATTAATTGGAATGGTGGACTACTACTACGCTAGCTAATGTATATGCATGTGTTCCCAAAAAATATTTCCAGGCCCGGGGTGCCAGTGGGCTAGCGCCGCCCGTGTTCCTCGTTGGGTCGGAGAGTCAGCAGGCGTGGCGCGCTGTCTATCCCGTACTGCTCGTGCTAGTTCTTCTGTATCTCGCCGAACAGTTCGCTGCGCCGCCAACAGAATAAAATAAATTCATGGGAGCGCCAAAATTAATTGGGTGCCTAACAAGATTTTGGCTAATTGGACCATCTATTCTTGCGTTAACTGGATTTTTTCTTTCTGACAAATCCCTTTCCCTCATATCCCTCTAGTCTTCTTCCTCTCGCACCCGTCGATCCACCTGCTGCCACCGGTTGAACCATAGCCAGTGTCGCTGCTGCGCCGCCTCGATCGCCTTGCCCTGCCCGATCCGCACCTAAGGTGCATTGCCCAATTATTCTGCTATTCTCCTTATCTCAAAGTTCATGTTCCTGAATATTGTATGTTTAGGGAATGATTACATTAGGTGCATTTCAAATGAATTGTTATGGAACAAGTTAGAGTCCCACAACTAGCTTGATTCCATAGTGAGCGCATCAAAGGCCAGTAACCTCAAATAATAAGTCTTCGATAATATTATATTTTCTCCTTATATTCTTGAATCTATTTCTTATTTACTTATATTTATGAACAGTACAAGGCAACAACCTTTTATTTTGCATGCATGGCTACCTAGCCCCACCATATAGCTAACTTCATATATTTTTTTGTATTCTTGAGAATAGTTTTCTAGAGGATTTTGGAGCTTGGCTTTGTACATGACCTGCCTTGGCTCTTGTTTGCGGGTGCATAAGCTTTAAGATGATGCACATAAAGTAATCTTCTAGGATTTTTAAAATAACACAAGTATCTAAAGCATAAACTCAGGCACCTACCATGGCACTGCACATTTGCATTTCCTTATTACATTTAAAGAAGATTACAGAAGCATCATTGGAAGTTTAAATATTGCTGTCATAAATATTGGTTGGTACAGAAATTATTTACTATAGACATTTTTGTTTGTAAATGACCATATTCTGCCTTAAATAACGCTAATTTGGAACAAACATCTTTTTGTTAGTGGCCATAGTGGATAGTGTGAAATTGATTGTACATCAGATACATTATACATGGATCATGAGGTCCTGGAGCGTATACTTGATGGAAGACAAAATGCGACAAATCTATCACTCTCACTTTTGAAGGATATCACCGAAAATTTCTCAGAGGATCGAGAAATCGGCCATGGTGGATTTGCAACTGTTTATAAGGTAAACTTATTTTTTACCATAAATTAGGCATAGGTCATCTAGAGATCTCCCTTCAAATTATTATATTGACTTGAGCAGTATTTGACGTAGTGAACTATGTTTTAATACTCAGTGTTACAACCTAGTAAAAATATCACGGTATATACAGATGTTACATACCTCTTCAGTCTTCAAGATGTCACTTATTTTAATTTTAAAGGCGTACCCAGTGCTCAAAGCTTCCACACAAGGTGGGGGTATGGGGAAGGGAATATCTAGACAGCCTTAACCATCCCGCAAAAGAAAGATAGAAGTTGATTTACTTATTTTTGGTATATACTCCTGTATGGACTCATAGTTCGACA